GGCTGTGAAGACCCTGAGACCAAACCCTTGTTCTTGGATGCAGTTCCCTTCTTCTTGGCTAGAGAGTTGGTTCTTTCAGTCATCTGTCAAAAACAAGATTAGCACAAGATCAAGTTTCATAAAATTTTCCAAAATTTTGAAAACATTTGTTGCAAGAATCGATTTCAAAAGCTCATGAACGAGTTTCTCAAGCCAAGCATCAATCCAATAAGTTCATAGCAATGCAAAAACAAGAGTGCAAAGCAAGGACTCAGCAAGAAACAAGTTCATTTCTTTTCCAAAAAAAAAATCAATTTTTCATGAATTAACTTGCAACAATTTTCAAAACTCAAGAACAATGAATCACCAGCAAAGTGCTCTGTTTTCCATGACTATCTGGCACCCTAGCATTTATAAAAAATAATCCCAAGGTCTAAAACAACCTATCAAAATCGATTCCACACCTTGAAGTTCAAAAATCACCATTGAAGAACATGGAAAAAGATGAGTTTTAACAGAGTGAATACCTTGGGATTATGATGCAACGAGTTCAAAATGCAATCAGGATGATGTTAACAACTCAAAAACGAGCTCAGAGCACTTTGAATCAACGAATTTGGTAGAGAAATGAGAGAGTTATGATGAAAACAATGGAGAGAAATGAGAGAAAAGGGGCAACCTCGTGGTTTTGGTGAGGAAGAGAGAGTGTGGGACAAGGTCAAGCCTTTGGACTTGTGGTCAATAGATCTATTTTGATCAGTCAAGGCTTTGATCTGTCCTTTTCTCGTTGACCGGACTCCTTTCTCTCCTTGTGCGACCTGGAACCGCCGTGACCGAGCCACACGACTAGCTCGGTGTTAAGCTCTCCTCACGTGTGCGACTTGGTCCATTCTTCTTGCTGTCCCGCACACCCAAGTCGCACTAAATCTTCTTCTGTACGGCTTAGTCCCTTCTTCCATGCTGCGACCTAGCCATTCCTTCAGCTCAGCCGCACGACCAAGTCGGTGTGAATTGCGAGCGTGTGTGTGCCTTGGTTCCTTCTTGAGTCAGGTCGCATGACCGTGTTGCAGGTCTGGACACTAAGACATTCCTGGATCCTTTGATTCGTGTGCGGCCTGGGAACATGTCAAGCCGAGTCGCACGACCAAACCGCATGGTTTTCACACTTAAATGATTTTTTGGTTCCTTCACAATGTGCGGCCTGGGACCTTTATTAACCAGCTAGCATGACCAACTCGTTGTGATTTGCGAGCTTTCCTGCGCCTTTGCCCCTTTGTGAGTTAGGCCGCATTACCAAGTCGCATGGTTTTACACTTAGGCGCCTCAGTTTCTTTCTTCTTCTTTTTTTATGCGGCCTGGGCTCTTGGACACCAGCTAGCACGACCAACTCGTTATGATTTGCGAGTGGAAGTGCGGCTTGGGCTTTCCTTGATCTAGGCAGCACACCCAAGTCGCAGGTCTGAGCATTTAGACTGGTTTTACACCTTCTTCTTCTTGTGCGGCCTGGATGCTCTCTGTTCTTCTCGCATGCCCAGGCCGGTGTGAATTGCGGATTAACGTGCGACCTGGTTCTTTTCTTTGGTGAGCTGCACGACCAGACTACATGTTTTTTCACTTAGTCGCCTCGGTCTTTCTTCTCTTGTGTGCGGCCTGATCTCCTCGGTGTAAGCCGCATGCCCAGGCCGGTGTAGATTGCGAATAGAAATGCGGCATGGGCTCTCCTTTGGTGAGCCGCACGACCAACACGCATGTGTTTTCACTTAGTCTCCACGGCCTTTTCCTCCTAGTATGCGACTTGACTGCTCTTGGACTTCCACACTCTCCCAACTTGGTGTGAATTGCGAACCTTCATGCGGCCAAGTCTTCTCTTGTTTCAGGCCGCAGAACCAACTCGCAGGCTTTGGTCCTTAGACATCACGAACTCTTCTTCTGATGTGCGACTTTGCACAGTCTCGCATCACCAAGTCGGTGTGAATTGCGAGCTTGTATGCGAGTTGGTTCACCACCAGCCGCACGCCCAGGTAGCACTCAGGCGTCCTCCAAGTTTTCAGGCCTTAAACACTTCTCCCAGCCTTCTCACATGTTCCATTTCATTTGTCCCTGAGCCATGGCCTCCAAAAATCACCTAGAACCTGAGACCAACTCACAAAACCCATCAAAAATTTCTAAAACATAAAAGAAAGAAAGAAAAGATCAAAAGTATATTTACAAAGGATAAGCTTGGGGTGTCTCCCAAGAGCACTTTGTTTAAAGTCTCTAAGTTTGACTTTGGAAACCTGTTTAACAGGCTGGTGGTGGATCAAGAAGGGGAACTGATGTAGCTTCCTCCTTCCTTTGTGAGACCAGGTAGTGCTTGATTCTTTGGCTATTTACCACAAACTCTTGACCATTCTTGCCTTTAACACCACAGCTCCATATGGCTTGACCTTAAGAACCTTAAAGGGACCAGACCATCTAGACTTAAGTTTTCCAGGAAACAACTTAAGCCTAGAGTTGAACAGCAACACCAGATCACCTTCCTTGAACTCCCTTTTCAGAATCTTTTGGTCATGCAGAGCCTTGGTCTTTTCTTTATAAATCTTGTAGCTCTCAAAAGCCCCAAGCCTGATCTCTTCAAGTTCATGGAGTTGAATGACCCTTTTCTCTTGAGCTGTCTTGATATCAAAGTTCAGCAACTTCACAGCCCACAAAGCCTTGTACTCTAGCTCAACAGGAAGGTGGCAGCTCTTCCCATATAGCAGATTGGAAGGTGATGTCCCAATTGGAGTTTTAAAGGTAGTTCTATAAGCCCACAATGCATCATCTAGCAGCACTTAGAGATTGAATTCTGGAAATGAGATGCGAGTGGAGATATGCGGGTAAGGCAACTCTGAGGATGGGTAAAGATTTCCGAGCTGAGAATATGCACAAGATGTGCGACTTGGGCATGCGGGTTGGCCGAGATGAAACCGAATAGCACATGTGTTCGCGGATCAGACCGAGTTGGGCCTGCAACTTGGAACTGAACAAGACCAACTCGCACACATATCTTCTCCATAATGCGTCTTGGTTGTGCGAGTTGAAGAGGAGAAGACCTGAGCAGCACATATATTTGCAGAACAAACCGAGATAAGCATGTGGCTGAAGCTGAAGAAGTTTAGGCGCGCAAGACTAGTTTCATGGCTGTGCGACTCAGGCCTGCGAGATGGGAACCACTTGAAGAAGTCGCACACTTAGCACACTGCCCATTTGAATCTGGGTCAGTACCTAGTTTGTCCTAGGTTGACCCGGTCCGAGCTACTTACTATAAATATGTTTTAGGGTTTTTTTCCATGACTTAAGCTTTATTCTCTCTAATTTCTTTGCCTCTTTTGTGAAAGACTTTCCTTTTGTAAGAGATATCTTCTTTTGTGTTTAAAGCTTAAATCCATCATTATCCATCATCTCCATCTTCATTTCCCATCACTAATCATGCCAATCTACTCTACTTGCAAAGGTTTAAGAGAGATTAGTATGATTAGTGAGTAGTTTGTTTAATGAGGTTCTAGATATATAGGTTAGGATGCTAAAGTGCTATATTAGGAGTGCTTAGGGCTAGATCCATGTTTTCATTTCTCTAAATAGCTGATCTCTATGCTAGATCCTTGCACATCACTTGTGATATAGAATCTGGGTTTTTCATGCACCAAAAGTGTTTGATGAAATTCCTGAAAGAGCTATATTAGAGATTTATGCATTAATGCCATGATGATGTTTGTTATTTGCATAAATGATCACTTGGGATTGATTCTTAATGCTATCTTTTTGTTTGATCTCTAATGATGATTGGGTATGTGAAATGAATTGATTTGTGTCATGATGCTTGAGAAAGATTAAGGCTTGATTAGAATTCCAAATCACTTGAATCATATTTCATTATTGTCATTAGCATTTCTATTTTAGCACCAAATCACCCTAGCCATCTATCATGTCGAGAATCTCATGCTCCCACCATTTCATATTCATTCACTTGTCATTTGCTATTCCTTGCTTCTTGTTTAGATCATTTGCTAGTTTATTAAATCTTGTTTAGTCTTTAGTTAATCACTTGTTTGAATCAAAACTCATCATATTGCTTGGATTAAGAAACTATCATCATGAGCTAGTGTCTACCAACACATTTGGATTGATAACCCTTTGTATTACAAAGACAAAGGATTGATAACCCCCACTAAAGGTCTAAAAACTTCAGTTATCAATTGGCGCCGTTGCCAAAGTGTGGTTTAGCATTAGTTGTTGATACTTTTTTGAGATCAAGCCGTTTTACCTTTTGATTTACTGATTAAACTCTTGAGTGCTGAGTTTCAGGTTTATCTAACATATACCCAGAACCAGGAGTAGGAATTGTGAAGCAGCTGAACCCTTCATTGATAACATCCACTTGCTGGATAGAAGAGGAAGAAGAGAAAGGGACAGAGCTGTTAATCAAGAAGAAGAAGATCATCAGGATCATCCTGGATGCACAACACAGGATTGAGCAACAGGCTCAAGAAGCTGAGCATCAGGCTCACCTAAATCAGGCTCACGCTGGGAGGAATGAGCAGCAAGCTTTTGTCAATCAAAACATGGCACAAAGGAATGAAAGACAAGCTCAGCAAAACTAACAACAAGCTAATAGGAATGAGCAGCAGGCTCACAACACTCCTCAGCCTCAGCCACAGGCTCAAAGACGTCACTGACACCAACCAATCTATGTGGGAGCCAATGATACAGCCAATGCTCACCAGAACAGAACTGGTATTGTTTATCCACCTGTGGAAAACAATAATTTTGAGGTCAAGGCTTCAATGATTTATATGGTCCATATTCAGTTTGATAGGGTCTGCAACTTGACCAAGATAAATGGAGTCTCAGAAGATGGTTTTAAGCTCAGGTTTTTTCCCTTCAGATTGGGAGACAAAGCAAGACAATGGGAGAGGAACCTACCAGTTGGGAGCATTCAGACTTGGGAACAATGTAAAGAAGCTTTCCTCACCAAGTTCTTCTCCACAAGCAGGACAGCCAAGCTAAGAAACCAAATCTCTAGCTTCACACAGCACTCCAATGAATCTTTTGGAGAAGCATGGGAACGGTTCAGGACATACATAAACCAGTGTCCACACCATGGATTTTCTGAAGCCTCTCTACTCTCCACACTTTATAGAGGAGAACTGCCTAAAATCAGAAACCAATTAGACATAGCCTCCAATGGTAATTTCTTGGCAAAAGAGATTACAGCTGCCATGGAACTTGTGGAGAATCTGGCTATGTCTAATGACACATGGTGAGGACTATGACAGAACAAACAGATCAGATGGTTCAAGCTCAGAGCAAAAGCTTACAAGAGAAGTTAAAGAGCTGAGAAATGAACTTGACAAGCTGAAGATGGTTTCTCAAAAACCAATCCATTATGTTGGTGAATTTGATGAGTCTCCAAGCTTTGAGAACATCAATGAAGCGGGTTTAATACAAGATGAGCTGAACTACATAGGGAATCAGAACAAGTTTCAAGGTTACAACAACTTCAACAAAAACCAGAACTTGTCTTATAGAAGCACCAATGTGGTCAATCCCCAAGATCAAGTATATCCTCCCCAACAGGGTCAACAAAGCTTTGTTCAAAGGAATCAGTTCCAAGGTAACTTCCAAGGTCAACAAGCTTTTCAGCAGCCAACAGCTCAGTAACAAGGGAATAAATTCAATAACCAACTCAGCTTCCAGCAACAAAGGCCACCACCTCCGGGATTTGGTCCACCACTAGTTCAACAAGGTCCTGATCTCAATATTGTTCTCCAACAGCTCTTACATGGACAAGAAAAGATGGAATCCAAGTGTCATGACCTGAGTTCTAAGATGGAGATACTTGGTTTTGAACTAAAGACTCTGCAGAAAAATAACGGCATCTCCACTTCTGAAACTCAAGGCTCTTTTCCTGGCAAAGCTGTTCAAAACCCCAAAGACTATTGCAATGCCATCTACTCTGATGATGATCACTCAGCTGCTGTTAACGAGATTGAATACCTCCTTTATGGTGAAGTCTATGATTAATTTACTTCCACCAATGAGTAAGAATACGCCATTATAGAGGACTTTGTGAGCATGTTCTATGATCTCAATGAGGACATTGAGAAAGAAGGTGGGGAGTGATAACACCGTATTTTGACCACTTTTATGGATCATAATAATGTCTAATGCAGGTGTTTTAACTCTGTTTTCAATGTTTTTAAAGTGTTTTCAATGTTTTAGAGTTTCAAAAGAATTTACAGGAAACTTGGGCAAAAGATATGCAATTTGGAACAAATGAGCAATTTTGGATAAATGCAGACCGTCAGAAGTATGACAAGCGATGAAGACCTTTTCACCGTCTGATCACCCCCAAAATTTGAGACAACATAGAGGATCCAACCAGCTTTCTAATGAACTTGGTTTGGAGACAATCCAACGGTTAGATCTTCAGATACTCCCGATGCAAGACTGACAGAAAATGCAGTTCCGGAAGAGAGCAAGTGCCGGGACCGCGGCCAACACCCATTTTCCCGCGGGTAGAGCCACCATGACCGCGGACTTTGGTCGTTCACTTTCCCGACGACTTAATTAAAGCCCAGATCAATTCCTTTCGTTATTTTTGAAGCCCTAAGTGTCCAGGACCACCCCAGAAGCTATAAATACCCTCTTTAGGTCATTCTAAAGAGGCAGAATCGAAACTAATAGACAAAGAGGAGAGAGAGAGATTTTCGTGCAACCCTAAGGAGGAGCCCCCGCCGCTTGAAGAAGGAGGAGCCGCCGCTGGAGTGCAATCATCGCGCCTCCGTCCGCTTCTCCGTTCTTCGTTTCTCTTCCTTCTTTTCTTTAATTTTCTGCAACTTTCAATACTCTGTGATGATTGTTTACATTATGTTTGAGTAGTTACCCAGTTGGGTTTAAAGGGATTTTTCAAAGGGAATTTCATGTGTCTTTGATTATGAATCGGTAGATTTAGGATTTATAATCTTCTAGATGTTCTTCGTTTGCCTTTAATCTTACTGCGTGATTCTTTGCTGGCCACTTAGAAGCCGATCTGATATGATATGTTGCGAAAGCTTTCATTGATTGTCTGAACTAGGGTGAAACGAGCAATTCTTCTATATGAGTGGAAACCTACCTGTAGTTGAGTTGTGAATGTTGATGAGTCTTGTTCTGCTATTGCATCTTCTCCCTTCCAGAATCAGAGTGGAAACCTACTGATTAGGGTTGCGAGAGATAGTTGTTTAGTGCTGCGAAAGTAGGCTATTCATACTTCCGTGCCTCGAGTTCTAGAACATACGTAGTTGATTACCTTTATCACTTGTTTAAAATCGACATAGCTTAGTCCATGAACCCCTGCGAAACCCCTTGAGCCCCAACATTTTTCTTTTATTGCTTACAACCTTCAATTTAGTTTGCTTTTCATTTTCTTGTTCTTTGCTTTCAATCGCCTAGTTTAATCGCCATTTAGTTGCCTTCATTCGTTTTTGTTTAATCGATTTTTACTTGCTTTTATTTGCTTTCACTTTCAATTGCTTTTACTTGTTTAGCTTTCTAGTTTAGATTTAGTGACAACAAAAAAACCCAAAACCAAAACCAAAACCTTTTTAGTTCTAATCTGATTTAAGTGTTGCAGTGAATTCGTACTGAAACAACTAAGTCTCTGTGGATCGATACCCTAAGTACTACATCGCACATCGCACATTTCAAAGATCGCACAACCAACCCCGTTTACAAACCCGCATCAAGTTTTTGGCGCCGTTGCCGGGGACTTAAATTTGTTTCGTTGCGAATCCCAGCTTAAATCCATTAGAACACTTGTTTATTTTTACATTTTCTTTTGAATTTTTCAGGTTTCTCTGTGATGAGAGACCGGGAACATGTTCCCGGAACTCTTGGTGATCCACCAAATCGTGTGGATGGTGATCCAAGCGATGATGACCTGACTGCTGATGAGTTTGAAGAACCGATTTATGATGACAATGAGCTAATCGGATCGGTCAAACACAAAGATGATGATGAACTGATTGGAAGTTTTGATTCACTCGAAAAGTTCATGGGAGATCGAAGAGCTATTCAACCAGCCTTACCAGAGGATGGCAAAACCGAAATTAAGGTACCTCATATCCATTTAGTTCAACAAAATCAATTCTCTGGTTATTCACTCGAAAACCCGATAGACCATATCGAGACTTTCAAAGAATTATGTGCAACCATTACAGCAAATGGGGATTACCACAAGTGTAGTCTTTTCCCATTCTCTCTTAGAGATAAGGCCAGCAAATGGCTAAAATCTTTGCCACCTGCTTCACTAAAAACGTGGGCAGCGTGTAAAACTGCTTTCCTAAAACGTTTTTACACTAGAAATCGTTCAAATCTCTTAAGAAAGAAGATAAGAACTTTTAAACAAAAAGAAGATGAAGATCTTTTAGATACTTGGGAAAGATTTAGGGAATATCAAAGAGATTGTCCACACCATGGATATGCCGAGGAATACCTGCTAAGTATCTTCTATCGTGGTATAACTCCAGAGTTGCGACACTCTTTTGATATAGCAAGTAATGGAGATTTCACAACTAGATCTGTAGAAGATGCTCACGTTTTCATTAAAAATTTAGGAAACAGCATCCGAAATCTGCACTTCCTTAGAAGAAAGAAGAAATTTCGGAAGTTATAAAGTGTCTCCGTCACATAATGAGTCATCTTGGATTGCAACAACCAAATAGGGTACACAATACGTGTAACTTTGATGGCTGGGACAACCCAATGGATTCTTATGGCCAAGGGATGGTTAACACTGCAGAAGTCTATCAAATTCAAGCTTTTCCATTCGATTCTGATCACCGCGGGTCCATTCGTCCGGACCGCGGCCAAGCAAGCTTTCACCGCGGTCGTGGCTGTTCTGACCGCGGCCAAGACATGATTCACCGCGGTTGTGAGCAACCTGACTGCGGGAAAACGTCTTCCGAGCTTGACTGGACACCACCTCCCGAACAAATCTTGGGTATTCAATCTAATCCTGTTCCATACCCTAATTTTCCCTCTTCTGAAGCTGAAAACCTAAACAAAAGAATTCTAGAGCTTGAAAAATCTAGGTCTAAAGAGATTAGTGATCTTAGATCTGAACTAAAAGAGATGCAGAAGGATTTCGATGAAAGATTATCCACCCTCCTTAGCATAATGGCCAAAACTAATTCTAAAAACTTAGAAAAATCTGAAGAGGAGCCAAGTGAAAATTCTTTCGAAAGCTCAAGTGAAGCAGATCCCTCCGATCATGTGAAAGCTATCACACTTAGGAGTGGATTAGCTTACAAAGAGCCTGAATTTCCTAAAGATCCCGAAGATGAGGAAAAGGGTAAGGAAAAGGAGAAAGAAAAAGAAAGAATCACGAATGAAGATGTTGATAAAGAAGTGGTAGGAGAAAAGGATGGAGAAGAAGTAAGAGAAGATTCATCCCGGGAAATCCTTGGAGAAGACCCGATTCCACCTCCACCAACTCGTGTCTATAAACCTAAACCTCCATATCCTAGAGCCTTAAGAGCTCCTAAGAAAGAGAAAGAAAAAGCTAAGCTAAAAGAGTTAATCAATCAATTAAATGTGAGATTACCTTTCGTAGAAGCTTGTGCTATGATTCCTGCTTTAAGAAAATACATGAAGGGTATTCTAACAAATTCTTTAACTCTTGAAGAAGGCGTTATGATGATAACCCATGAATGTAGTTCTATCCTGCAAAGCCGAATCCCTGAAAAGAAAAACGATCCTGGAAGCTTTGTACTTTCATGCACCATCAATGATGTAGCTTTTGAGCGTGCTCTCTGTGATTTAGGATCTAGCATAAACATGATGCCTCTTTCAGTAGCAAAACGTTTAGGACATTACACTTTCAACCCCACTAAGATTTCTTTAGTACTAGCCGATCGTTCCGTTAGACAGCCTGTAGGTATCTTAGTAGATGTTCCCGTCGAAATCGAAAAATGTTCCATACCAACCGATTTCGTAGTTCTAGAACTAGAAAAAGAACCTAAGGATCCACTTATTCTTGGAAGACCATTCTTATTTACAGCCGGAGCCATAATCAATGTTCCTGAAGGAAAAATCGACCTTCATCTAGCCGGTTCAGTTATGCAG